TTTTATTAATAATATTATTATTTATTAATATTATTATTATTATTTATCTTCTTCCATGCGAACAACTAAACACAATAATGTAATATTTCTGAGAATTTAAAAAAGATTCCTGTATGGAACCAAACACAGTAATATATTATTCCTATGAATCATATTACCCTCCATCACTTTCCTGAGAGTATGATTCCTACTGATTTCTGCATACCAAACGCCCCCTAGGGTAATAGATTTGAATGTATAGGAAAGTATTAGGATTAGATTTTAGTTTAATCCAATCCCATGTTTGGTGTTGTGTTATTAGGATAAGGACATATTTGTAAAAAAAAAAAAATTAAATTTGATGATCAAATTGTAATTTTTTGAAACTTGAGGGGCAAAAATGTAATTTTGTAATATTTCACTCATAAAATTGCAATTTGTACCCTCAATTTTTAAAAAAATACAATTAAATCCCAAATTTTATAAAATTTATAAATAGGTCACTAGTGTTTTTCACAATGTGCCTTTGTAAAAAAATTATCCCATGCTTTAGCAGGAGATAGCAATATCCCATTCAAGGAGATTCAATAATGGACTGAACAAAAATTTATCCAATTCAATCCTTTAAAAATGCTTAAATACAATATTAAAATTTGATCCTATCAAGTCCTCCCCTAATCCTGCACATCAAACAGGCCCGTAACGTGCATAGCACGTGGCTCAAGTCCCGACTAAAAACGACATGTCTTCGTGTAGTCATCGTACCTTTTTTTTTTTTTTTTTCAAACGTAAGACAGCCCTTTTCGCGCGCCTCCGCTACCGGTGTTACTTTCCTTCTTCGGTCTTCACTTCCCATGGATTCTGTTTCCCACTCTCGAAGTTGAACGAATCTTATTCTGAAACTTTAGTAGATTGTTTGTTATTTACAAGTTCTGTTTCACAAATGGGCATCAAGAAAATTTTCACTTCCCAGAACAAAATCCGAATTACCTGTGTTTCATTACTTTCGATACACAATTAAGCATATATATATATATATATATATATATTCATACAAAAACAAAAATGTTTCCCTTTAGAGTTTCTCGGCCGTCGACGCGGTTGTTTCGTTTCTCAATCAGGTTATACTGCTATGGTGCCATAATTTCCTTCAATTCTCTCATCGTGCGGTATTCTCGTCTCGGCCAAATTCATAATGCCCGAAGGGTGTTTGATGAAATGCGTATGAGAAATGTTGCGTCTTGGAATTCCATTATTGCTGGTTACTTTCAGAACAGTCAACCTTCGGAAGCCCAGGAACTGTTTGATAGAATGCCGGAGAGGAATGTCGTTTCTTGGAACGCGTTGATTGGCGGGTATGTTAAGAATGGAATGCTTAACAAAGCGAGGAGGGTGTTTGATTCAATGCCCGAGAGGAATGTGATTTCGTGGACGGCAATGGTAAGAGGGTATGTGCAAGAGGGGATGATATCTGAGGCAGGGTCACTCTTTTGGCAGATGCCTGAAAAGAATGTCGTATCATGGACGGTGATGTTGGGCGGCCTAATACAAGAGAGACGTGTTGATGATGCTCGTTGGCTGTTTGATGAAATGCCTGAGAAGGATGTGGTGGCAAGGACTAACATGATTAACGGGTATTGCCAAGAAGGTCGTTTGGCTGAGGCCAGGGAGATTTTTGATGAGATGCCGTGTAAAAATGTCATTTCTTGGACAACGATGATATGTGGGTACACACAAAATCAACGGGTAGATGTTGCTAGAAAGCTATTTGAAGTCATGCCTGAGAAAAATGAGGTGTCGTGGACCGCGATGCTGATGGGGTACACTCAATGTGGGCGGATACAGGAAGCTTCGGAGCTTTTTGATGCAATGCCACTAAAGCCAGCTATCGCTTGCAACGCCATGATTCTTGGGTTTGGCCAAATTGGGGAGGTAGGTAAAGCAATGTGGGTATTTGACCAGATGAGAGAGAAGGATGAAGGGACATGGAGCGCGATGATCAAGGTTTATGAACGGAAAGGATTTGAATTGCAAGCACTTGAATTCTTTTCTTCCATGCAGAGGCAAGGAGTTAGGCCAAATTACCCGACTCTAATCAGTGTACTTTCCGTTTGTGCCAGCCTTGCAAGTCTTGACCATGGTAGAGAGATTCATGGTCAGTTGGTGAGATCCCACTTTGATCATGACGTATATGTTGTCTCGGTTTTGATTACTATGTATGTCAAATGTGGCAACCTGGAAAAAGCAAAACTTGTTTTTGATAGTTTTGCTCCAAAGGATGTAGTTATGTGGAACACTATGATCACAGGTTATGCCCAACACGGTTTAGGAGAGGAAGCTTTACAAGTTTTTCACGATATGTGCTCCGTTGGTTTAGCGCCTGATGATATTACCTTCATCGGTGTTCTTTCAGCATGTAGCTACACAGGAAAGGTCCAGGAAGGGCGTGAAATTTTCGGGGCAATGAAATCCAAATATCTTGTGGAGCCAAGAACTGAACACTATGCTTGCATGGTTGATCTGCTTGGTCGAGCAGGCCAGGTAGATGAGGCAGTGGATTTAATTGAAAAAATGCCAGTGGAAGCAGATGCTATCATCTGGGGTTCGTTACTCGGTGCTTGCAGAACCCACATGAGGTTGGACTTGGCAGAAGTTGCAGCACAGAAACTTTTATTGCTTGAGCCGAATAATTCAGGGCCTTACATTTTACTATCCAATATTTATGCAACCAAAGGCAGATGGCGTGATGTCGCAGAGCTGAGGAAAAACATGAGAGAAAGAAACGTGAGCAAATCGCCTGGCTGTAGCTGGATTGAAGTGGAGAAAAAGGTTCATGTGTTTACTGGAGGAGACAGCACAGGACATCCAGAACATCCCATGATCTTGAGAATGTTAGAGAGACTAGGTGGATTACTAAGGGAAGCTGGGTATTGTCCTGATGGCACCTTTGTGCTACATGATGTGGACGAAGAAGAGAAAGTGCATAGCCTGCGATATCACAGTGAGAGGCTGGCAGTAGCCTACGGACTGCTGAAGGTGCCGGAGCCAATGCCTATTCGGGTGATGAAGAATCTTCGGGTTTGTGTTGATTGCCATTCCGCTATTAAATTAATAGCTAAAGTTACGGGGAGAGAGATAATATTAAGGGACGCCAACAGATTTCATCATTTCAAGGATGGTTTGTGTTCTTGCAGAGACTATTGGTAATTTTGGTTAACAATCCAAGGAAGATTGACTTCATTTCAGCAGTGTGCGTACCCGCCTTAGACAGGCCCATGGTTTAAAGTTAGCTCAGAAACTTAATAAGACCATTGTTTATCCATCTAAGCAACCCATCTAAGCAACGGGTAATCAAAGCCTTTGCGGCAATGCCCCAGGTGGGCCACATTTGCGTGGTACTATCATCAATGCAATTGGTCACTCTAATGCTCTGTCATTGCGAAAATATTGAGCTTATGTGGTGTACTGACAAGAGTTTTATGGCCTAGTGATGAGAGGTCTGAATGTTGAGCTTTGCTGAACTAGCATTGAAGGATTACCTTTTTGTACAAGACAATAAGCGTTAGCTTGAGGAGGTGAGTTTTTATCTTGTATACGGCATCTTGCTAACTAAACTATGCAGCAACAAATTCTATTGTATTTGGTCACATTGAGGTATGTAAATTTTCAATTAGCATATGACCTTTAGTTCTTGTGATTTTGTCGTTAAGCTGCTAACTCAGTAACATGTTGTGCAACTTGTCCAGGTGATACTGTAATCATGGAGAGTACATGAGATGGTACAAACTTATGATTCGTTCATTTTACTGATTTAAATTTTCAATTTCAGTTTTACTATAGTTAAAAGCTCTAACAAAAAGTCACATATAACTTTTTTACTATAATTAAAAGCTCTCTCATAAAGTCACATCTCAGCTCGAATTGAAAATTCGAATCGGCGAACTGAACGAGGCCTTAATGACTCCAAGGATTTGAGATAAAAAGATTTTGAGTTTGAATTTATTCTCAAAAAGAGGTCATCTTCAGCTCCTAATTTTTTGATTTACTGGAGTTTTGTTTTGTAATTAAAAAAACCTCCTTTTCTGCTGGTCCCTAGCTATCAACGAGTTCGCAACACCGTGCACGCATGTTTGCACATAGAAAGCTACTGATTTTAACGTTGTGACCGAGTTAATGCGACAGAACTTGGGAAACTGACAAAGAAGGTTGTTGGCAGTGAATACTATTTATTTCTTTTATTGACCTCTGATTTGTATTTCCTCTTGATGGGCAAATATCGCCTACTGTTATGCCTATTGATGGACATAAATAATAAGAGTAATATTAAGACACCAATTTAAATTTTAATTTAATGTATCAATAATGTAATATGTGAATTGTCATCTTTTCATTGATAGATGTAATTTTTTTTATTAATTAATGTGACGATATTTTAAACATTCATTAATAAAAAATGATAATGCATTTGCTGCATCAATTGGCACAAAAAATTGCGATTTGAATTGATGTCATGACATTATTCAAACAATAATGTTGTGTTAAAAAACCACACCCAAACTTAGCATCATTTCAGGCTGATTTCGTGGAAAACGTAGTATAACAATAGCAGTAACTTAATTTAGAAAAAAGAAGAAAAAAAAAACTCAAGCAGTAGAGTACTCTATGCCAAGACATATTTCAGCAACATACTTGATTATGAAGTTTCCGCGTTGTTCTACAGGTAATGAAAATTGAAAGATAAGTTGTAGTTTCTATCTTCCCTTGATAATGTATTTCCATGACCACATTACAAGGTTAGATCGAGATCTAATCCTTTCTCTTCCCTTCCCTTTTCTTTCCCGTTGCTGATCTCCTCTTCAATACAACACCTAATGCTTACATTGGGATTGCCCTCCTTTTCCTGCCCTGCAAAATCTTCCAATTTAAATACAGGGATCCACGCCGGACCATGGACCTTCACCTTCTTTGCATCCTTATTACTCGCCTCTAATTGACGCGAGCAATGTCTTAACCTTTTAATGATCGCGAAGAACTCCTCAATCTTTTCTTCTTCATCACCACTGCTATGATTTTGCTCCACCTCCTCTTCAGGCGCGCCAATCTTCCGTTTCCCATCTCCTCCCATCTTTGCAAAGTGTCTGTTTCCCCACCCTAAACACAACGACCATGTGCTTTCGATTTGTGTGTTTAAATGCTTCATCTTTCTACGTTGTATATATTTGTGAAACCAAACCATGGAAATGACCTACCATCTTAGTGGGGTCAAATGTAGCTTGTCATTTCCTTAAATGTGGACCAATGAATATGTTGCTTATAAAAATCAAAATTAGTGGTTTTTCTGTTCTAATGCTGATAAAAATATTGGTGCTATTACACTAAAAATAAAAAAAAAAATCTATTTACTGTTTTCTTGTTGCCTTTTTCCTTATCTTTTATTTGTTCTTTTGCAACCACTGATGTGATGTTATGGTAATACCTACCTATAGATATTTCACCAATTTCATGTAATGTTACTTTTTCAAAAGTTGGTGTGCATCGGCATAATTGGTGGTTTGTTGGTATCATTTTGTTGCGTCACGCTCTGATCTATTCCTTTCTTACCAATGGTTACATTTTTTTAATATATATATATATTTTTTTAATTTTAGTTTTCTTGTGAAACTTTGTGAGGACAGTTCACATATATAGTACAAACAACAATATGTGATGGCCATTAATTTATCTCAAATCAAGCTGCTAATGATTATACCTACGAAAAGATATGTCGCCACATTGTAATAATTTCACGTGAAATGCTTATTCAAAAAGAACTTCAGAGACAAAAAAATAACAAAATATGCAAATTAGCATCCCTAATTTTTTTTTTATTTGATGATTGAGTTAACAAGTTATCATTAACATATTCAAATAATTTCTTCTTCCATATGTCCCTACTTAATCTTTTCTTTTTTGAAACGTTTTTTACGTTCCTGATTTTTTTTTTTTTTCCTTTTTTTCCTTTGTTGTTTTGGGTCCTCCTTCCTTTTTTTTTTCTTCTTTAATCCCTTATGTTTTTTTTTTTCCTCTCCCTCTTATTTAATCTTATCATTTTTTTTCTTTTCTTCTTTAATCCCTCATGTTTGTTTTTTTTTTCCTCTCCCTCTTATTTAATTTTATCATTTTTCCCTTTTTTTCAATGTAATCCTCATAAATATGTTTTCCTAGTTGTCCAGTTAGAATAATTTCTTCTCATATATCTTCTTTTCTATATATATATATATACATATATCACAATTCAAAACCAACTGATCTCCCCCTTTTTTGCATTTTTTTTTTGTTTTTTGCTTTAATTTTTAGTCCATGACATCTGTTGGCCCTTTCTTCCTCTTTACTTTTTGCTTTTTTGTTGTGTGTTTTTTCATAATCTAAAACAAATTTTCTCAATTGCACATTGCCGAAATATTTTTTCTTGTAGTCATTTTTTTTTTCAAAGTAACTATAGTTATTGTTTCCCCTTAATTGCTCTCTCCAAGTATTTTTTTCTCAGATGTATCCTTGCCTAAACATTTTTATTTGTAAGAATCTAAAGAATTAAACTTGTTTAATTATGTTAATTATGACTTATTAGTATTTTTAATTTAATTTTTTTAATTAATCATGGTTATTAAAATTTTCTCGTCTTTAAATTTTAACTATTTTTAAGAAAATTTAATTATTTTCAGTATTTACAATTCCACCTCAGAAGTATGTGGAAATACTTCAGTGCACAACGAAGAAGTTGGAGAATGCAGCAGGAGAAAAAGACCGTGAACTGCTCCAGCACAACAGCATTTCACAGAGGAGCCCCGACCAAATCTAAAAACAGGTGAAATGAAAATTCATGCGGTATGTAAATATTGTAAAAAGCACTTGGTACTGGTCATCTGGATAGACATTGGAAAGCGTGTCTACCGTTGCACCAAGGTGGGAGTGTGTACTCCCGCTAACAAACACTATCACTCACATCACAAGGGTTGCAAAATTTTACATACGATGCGCAACGTGCTCGTGGGGCACTAGCTAAATTTTTAGCTAGTGTCGAATTACCTCTTTCTTTTGTAGATGATGCAGCGTTCGAAGAATTCATACAGATTGCCTTATGCCTGCAATTTAAATGGCTAAGTAGAAACACAACTTATTCTGATTGCATGAAAGTGTTTTATGCAATGAGACAATCTCTAGTTGATAATTTTACATCTTTTAATGCTACATATCTTGTACTTCTGATCTATGGGAGGGGTGCAATAAAACTGAATATTTATGCGTCACGGCGCATTATGTTGATGATGAATGGGTTTTACAAAATAAAATAATAGGTTTTAGTTTATTTCTATTTCCTCATAACACAAATGTTATTTTTTGAATAATAATGGAAATTTTTAGGTTTTATGGGATAGAAGATAAAGTTTTAATTATTTTTGTTAATAATGCATCAGCTAACGCGACTGCAATTAACATGTTTAAACGTAGCTTGAAACCATCGTTTGGTGGTGAAATTTTTCATCAACGGTGTGCGTGTCACATAATAAATTTAGTAGTATAAGAAGGAATTGAACATATTTCCTTTAATCTAACAAATATTAGATAATCTTTATCTTCATATCTAGTTCTGGAGTTTGGCTCCAAGTTGCAGGAGTAGCCAGATGCGCCTAAGAAAGTTTCCAACTGATGTGAGACATAGGTGGAACTCCACCTACTTAATGTTGAAAGCAGCACTCCCGTATCAACAGCTCATCACAACTCATGTGAACAGTAAAAACAATCAAATTTTAATATTCGATATAGATTGGAGTATTGGTGAGTACTTTTTTTAAATTTTTAGAAGTTTTCTACAATGCTACTAAATTACTTTCCGGAGTTTATTATCCTACCACACATTTAGCTTTTTATCAACTATTTAATATTTCAGAAACATTTTCTTATTAAGGGGATACTGAACTTTTTAGAAATATAGTTAAGCTAATGGAAGCTAAATTTAAAAATTATTGGTCCGGTTGTCCTATGTTATATGCATTAACAACCATTTTAGATCCTAGATGCGTAGTAGATGGGACCGAATCTTTAATAACTGCTACGGCAGAAAATTTAGGTATTGATATGCTACTAACTATTACTGATGCTAGGAAGATGTTAGAAAAATTATTTGGTTTGTATGAAGCAAAATACGAAATATGTCAAAAAGAACAGGGAACATCAACGTCAACAAGCAGAAAGAGAAAACATCAGGATCCTCATCAACATAAGCGTCTACCGAACTGGTAAAATATTTTAAATCAAATTTTGTAATCGATGATGACAAACTGGACATCTTACAGTGGTGGAAGAGCAGGACCGATCGTTTTCCAACACTGTCCGTAATAGCCCATGAGATTCTAAAAACTCCAGTGTCAACGGTTTCATCGGAGCAAGCATTTAGTTCAAGCAACCGAATTCTTGACGAAAAGAGAAGCATAATGTATCAGGATATCTTGGAGGGGTTAATGTGCATTAAAGACTGGAAAGATGCCAGAAGACGAAAATAACAATATACAGATGATTCAATTTAAGAATATTTTTCTAACTTAGACATAACATAATCATTTGGAAGCACTTAGGTTTTGTAATAATCCTAGAATACTACACTCTTTTTTTCTTCACTAAAGTTTTGTCCCGATCTCCCTATGAGTTTTACTTGGCAAGGTTTTTAACGAGGCATTCATTTATGTGTACTTATTCGCATAATCTCAATTCAATAAAATCACATCTTTTGGAGGCATATGAATTTTTTTTCTTTTATTAAATATTAAAAAAAATTTAAAAGGGCCAGAGCTGGCCCGTGAAAGGCCTGGGCCCAGGCCCAACCCTAGCCCTTATGGACAAGGGCCGAGGGCCAGTGCTTGGCCTGAGGGCTTCTCCTCAGGCTCGGCCCTGCATTGTGTAGGGCTGTGCCAACCACAACCCAAGCCCGCCACGGGCATGGGGTTAGAAGGGTCGTGCCGGTCCGGTACGGCCCTTTTGACACATCTAGGGGCAGGTCCCGAAACCCATACAGACCACTACAGTGGTGATATCATGGTCTTACGATAAGGTAAGTGACTCATCATGAACCACTTACTAAAATACGAACTTTTGAGACTTACTTTTATTAAAAAATGATGTTCAGTTACGAATGATATGTTCGAATCGTGTACTTCCGTTTATTGATTCAGTTTTATAAAATGATATCATACTTGGCCTTTCGCTCACAATTTTTATGTTTTCAATGTATTTAAACCCTTCCCAGGCGATGCTAGAAGTAGCGTTGAGTATACGGTGACAACCGGTGAGGTGAGACGATTTCCAGAAGTGGTGGTTTATTTCCTTCCTTGCCGTATATTCTTATGGCATGTGTAAATTATGGATTGTAAACCTTAAATTCTACTAGATTGTGGTTGATGTCAGCATTGTTTATGTATGCATAATGTAGAAACCCTGTGGATGTCAGATGCTGACTTTTGCAATTAATTTAACCGTGATTGTGGTTTTGTAAAGTCCGCCTCACTTTTTCTTAAAACTCAATTTTCTTAAAATAGTGGCGTTTGTTTAGAAATTCTTAAATGTTTTATCCTTATAAATGATTTTATCATTATTTTATGCTTAATTACTTTCTTAATCATGTTTTAATTTCTAAATAAGTCTCCACGTCACCAACCCTTGGTTGGGGTGTGATATTATCATACAACCTTCTCAATTTTTTTATGTGTACTCCATGAATAATTTACTACCTAATTTTTTCTTTTTAAATGTGCTCTATTAACTTCTTTTTTTTTTTTTTTTACTAAATTCAACAATTAGAAAAGTAATGAATAAGTACAACTAAATGCCAGAAAAAAAATTTAGATTTTCATATTAAAAAAATATCAGAAATGCACGCGCAAGGGTGGTGCTTACAACTAGTTCAAGTACAAATCGCAAATCACAGATTGTTCACAAGATTATTCAATTCTTTTTTGAGTCATGAGGCCCTAGCAATTAGTATTACTCATCTCTGAGTCATGAGAAAATTGATGAGGTCACTTTTTAAATGTATTGTTTTAAGATTTTTATTCTTTATTTTTAATTAATATCATTTTAACTATTATAGTTCGT